AAATCTATTCTGAAAAAGAACAAAGTTGAGACTTCACACTACCCAATCTCATGTGGCCTTGAAAAGGGGACAAACACTGCTCAGTGCAACCGAACTCGGAGCCCAGAAGTAGACCCACGTAAACACTGCTAACCGGTGCTTAAAACAGCTTTATTTAAGTATAATTTACACACAGTAGTGTCTTAGTTACTTTTCTCACTGCTGGACAAAATACCTAACACTTAAAGTTAAAGGAGGAAAGGTTTATTCTGGCTCAATCTGTAGAGGTTTCATTCCAAAATCAGCTGGCTCCAAGGCGGGGTGGCACAGCAAAGGGGCATTGCTCAGAGGGCAGGAGGCGGCAGAAGCTAAGCAGCAGCCCTCTTTCCTCCTTTATACTCCATCCAGGCTACCTGCCCGCTGGGTGGTGCCACCCACACCCAGGTGGGCCTTCCCATTATCCATACCCAGAGCTTTGCCAAACCAATCCCAATCCGCCAAACCAATCCCAATCAGTGGACTCATTTAGTAATCACACACCCTTAATCCCAGCATCACACACTTAATCCCAGCATCACATACATCTCTGAAAAGCCCCACCTATGACCACATGAGGCTTTGAGGGGACATCTAGATACAAGCCATAACAGGATAAATTCCCATGAACAGTGCAATGATTCTTCGTAAATTTAGAGGTGGATATCATCACAACCCAACTGTAGAAAAGGTCCATCACTCCAAGTAACGTTTTATGCCCCATCTGCTGTCATTCCCCATTCACACTGAGGCAACCACCAGACTACTCTGTCTCTACAGATTTGTCAAATGAGCTTTGATAATAGTGTAAAGACAATTCTATGAAGAAGGACACCTTTACAAGAAACAGTGCCATGTCGATTGGATGTCCATATGCAGAAAAATATCTCAACACACACTTCACTTGATATACAAAAATTAGCTCAAAATGATCAAAGACCTAAACATAAAATTGTAAGAACTTTACAGAAGAAAACAGGAAATATGCATGATCTTGAGTTTGGTGATGAGTTTTAAATAACAGTATAAAAACACATCCATTTAAAAAATTAATAAATTGGATTTAATCACAATTAAATATATTCTTTAGAAGACACCATATGACTACAGGACTATTAAGAAAATGAAAAGACAATCTAGACTGGGGAAAATATTGGAAAGGTGTATAACCAATAAAGGTCTCATATTCAGAACATACTGAATTCCTAAATATCAAAAACAGCCAAATTTTTTAAATATGGGCAAAAGATCTGATCAGACAATTTCAAAGAAGATACATGAATAGCAAAAAAGCAGATGAAAAGACTCTCAGTATCATTTTTCACTATGGAAACGAGTATTTCAATCACAACCAGATAACAATGCAATAGGAATTCTTATTCATTGCTGATGAGAGGCAAAATGATAGTCACTTTGGAGAACAGTTAGCAGTTTCTTACAAATATACAGTACACCTCCAAATGACTGCAATCACACTCCTAGGCATTTACCCAAGCAAAATAAATTACATTTAAAGATCTATATATGATTGTCACATGATAAACTTTGAAAACATCCTTGACACATAGGTTGGAGAACTCCGCAATACAAAGGAACGACTACCAACTTCTGTAATGTGAATGAACTTAAAATCCATTTCAGTAAGAAAGAGGCCAGACTCAAAAGGCTACATATAATACATTTATATGGTATTCTGGAAAAGCCAGAATTGTAGAATGGAGAAACAGATGAGTGGCTCCCAGGAGCGGGGTGAGGTCTGGGGGAGTCTGTGAGGCCATACACTGTCCTGTCCTGGGGGTCTGGATGCATGGTTCCATGCACTGATCAAAGCCCACCCAGCGTGCATGCTACTCTATGAATAAATAAAACAACTGTCAGGGAGCCCTAAAAGAATGGTGACCAATGAATCTGTTTTGCAAATGTGTGACCTACCTCAATGAAGGGAGTGGAAATACAAGTGACCGAGCTAAGTTACTTTCGAAAACGGTGTTCTACCCTTCCCATCAAGCAAAGTACTGAACACTGTATCTGATCAACTTTCTCACGGGAGTACAAGTTAAAATACAAGTTATGTATTCTAGACCCACTTTTTAAGTATATTACATAAGTGTAAGTCCAAGTCCAAAGCCTCCTCTGAGATTTAAGGCAAACTCTGAGCTGCAAGCCCCTGTACAAATGAAAAGAAACTTCCAACTTTCAATGGCACAAGACAGACATTTCCATTCCACAGGTTACAAACGGGGACACAAAGGAATGGGAACAAAGTCCAAAACCCAGCAGGGCAACATTAAGTCTCACAGTTCCACTTCCAGCATCATAGGCAATCTGTGGCAAATTGTGAACAATTGCGCTTTGGTGGTTGTGGCTCCCACAGCTTCTCCCTTGGGCCAGCTCTGCTCCCTCCCTGCAGTTTTCCTCAGATGATCCGATCCATGCTCCTGGCTTCTCAGACTTCCAGGGTCTCCACTGCACCTTCAGCTTCACACACTGCCTTCTCAGGGGCACACTCCCGGCCTCCAGGCCTTCTTCTGAAATCTGGGTGGAGCCTTCCTGACTCACAACTCTTGCATTCTGCATGCACATAAAACCAGCGCCACATGGATGATGCCAAGGTCTGCCACCAGCTGGAGCAGTACACAGCCTTCCCTCTCTCTTGGCTGTAGGGGTTGAGTGCCTGATCGCTGAGCACGCTGAATCCAATCCCAAGGAACAAATTCTCTAGGTGGCTGCCATTCTGGAACATGGTGCGCTGGGGCTTTCTTCTCAAAGCAAAGTCTTTCACTTTTGAAATTTTGAGACTGCAAAGGATGAAGTCCTGCTGGTTCCTGTGATGTCCTTAGGCCATCTTTTCTATTCTCCTTTTCCTTCTCAGCAATCAAGATCTCCTCTGCTCTATCTTCGCAGGCCCCAATTTTATTGGAGCTTCCTTTCTGGCCAATCTCAAAACGTTCTACATCATTCTGCTGGGCTCTTTGCTCTTCAGTCTCAACATAAACCTAGCTAAAAGCCCCAAATAGCAGTCATAACACGCCCTCAACATTAGACTGTCTTGAAATTTCTTCTGTGAGATTAGTCCACTACCCTTAATCTCAGTCTCAGGCAAAGTCTCTGGACATGAGGAAAATGCAGACAAACTTCCTGCCAAGCCATAACACACATGTCTGGAATCCAGCACCCAGTGCAGTCCCTCTTCTCAGCAGAAACCTCTCGTGCCCGGCCTTAACTGGCTTTCTGGTCTTCTGAGGTCTGACCAGAATCTCCTATGCAGAACAGCCCAAGGCATTCCAGCTCTGCTTCTGTAGCTGACATCTCTGAATCTTTCCTATCTCTTCCCCTTCCCACTCTTGAGCCACATGACCAGGTAATGTCACAACAAGGACCCTACTTTGCTGGTACCAAATTTTTGTGTTAGTCACTCCTCTCTTGTTGCTGAGACAAAATACCCAACACTCAAAGTCAGACAGAAAGGGGTTTATTTGGCGTATAGTTCATAGAGGTTTCAGTCCATAACTGACCAGCTGCAAGGCAGGGTGGCAGAGGGGCCACAGTTCACAGCAGCAGTGGAAGCAACAACAACAACAAAAGCAACAAGAGCCCTCATCAGCACCCTTCTGCCCCTTTTATCTTATTCAGGTTACTTAGGGGGGTAGCGCTCATGCCCTTAATCCTAGTGCCTTCAGGCCTAACCCAATCATGAATCAATCACACACTCTATGAAAAAGCATGAGACTTTGGAGGGACATCTAATCACAAGCCATAAGAGTGTATCAACTAGCTAAAAGGAGCCAAACTTCTCACTGTCAAGAAAGAAGCCACAAATAAGCAAAGGCAGAATGAACCTTAAGGTGATGGTCAGTATAATCTCATGATTAATTTATACATATCGATACTGAAATGACTATATAGAGATGTGCACCGATATACTGGCTAACAGTTGTCTCCTAGGTCAGTCACCAAAGAGGCCTAGAAGCCATGATCCTCCATCAGCACTAAGCATACCCTGCTAAATACCATTCTCCAGTAAAAAGAACCACTGGTCCTTAGAGAAATGGCTCATTCTATGGCTACTTCCAAAAGAAGGAAGATGGTCTTAAAAAAAATTGGGGAGCCTACATCAAAGAACTCTCAATGGCAAAAGCTCAAACAATTTGCACAACACATTAAATGGCAACAGCACTGCATTTTAAACCAAAGGACAAAAATAAAAAGTAAGGAGTTCACACTAATATAAATGATCAAATAAATTTTAAAATGGGAGAAAAGGACACATTTTCTTTAAAGAAGAATTCTAAGTGCATGTAAATACTCACTCCTCTGGAAAGTGGAGCTAAATTTTCCTCCCCTTGAATGTGGGCCTGACTTAGTGACTCTCTACCCAATAGAGTATAAGGGGGCAGGGGGACAACTTACAGGGGCAAAACTCAGCAGATACCACCTTCACCAATGACAGAACAGCATGGCAACACATGTTAACATCATGTGCCCCACCATACGGTACACCGAGAAGGGCACAGTCCTCTCAGTCTATTGCGAGGAAAACTCACACTGAGGAACAGCCTATGAATTTAACTCACCTGTACTCTTCAGGGTCACGGTCATGAAAAGACGGAGATACTATCACATGGTGGAGAAGACTGGAGGCGTGGAGAACTAAGTAAGCCCAATGTGATACTCTGGCTTGGGTCCTGGAACAAAAGGATGTTAGTGGAGAAACTCGCAAAAGCCCAATGATGTCTGTAGTTTAGTAAATAATATAGTGTCCAAAATTAATTTCTGAATTTTGACAGATGGCCACTGTATATAAAAGGTGGTAACATTAGTAAATGATCAATACTGGGTATTAAGAATATCTCTGATCTTTCAACTTACCTATACAAAATTAGTACAAAATTTAAGTTATTTAGAAAAGTACAGAAAAACCATAGCACTGAAAGTGTAGCTGTATTTAAAACTAAGAAAGGAACATTCAGAGGACCATATACATCTTCTCAGCAACTTGATCAACACCAGTTTATTTGTAAACATGTTATATGTCAATAATCAAATTGACAACACTTTATACATTTCATTGTATCATGTTAACATTATAACAGAAAATAATCCACTGTACTGTTAGTTTTGATATTTTAAAATGTTTAACACAAACTGTATTGGAAACACTGACCACAAAAAGGAAATATGAATGGCAGAGAAAGGAAAACATCAAAACAATATTCCCCCCCAAAATCAAACACAAAATCATCTGATTACATGTTTAAAAAAGGACAAGGAAATCAGATAATCATATTTCTTAAATGATATGAAGGTGCACTTCTTTAGATAACCATCTGAAAGGTGAAATTGTATCCCTACTCAATTCTACACCCTTTTATCTATTTCTCTTTTTTTTCTTATTTCTAAAGAATGTTTGCCATGGTTTAAGCTATGGTAAGGGGAAAGAACAGAGAGAAGCCAAATTAAATTAGTTTAAACATCTGCAAAAAATGTATAAATTTTCCAAGAATCTTCTTTGGCAAATAACAGTGTCTATATTTTACATTTACAGTTTTGATGAATTGGCTCGACACTTTTAAGACTTAAGAGATACATCTTTACATGAGTTAATGTACAAATGAAACAAAGACACATTCAGAAAGCAAAGCACGAACATCAGCGTTTCACACTTTGCTAACAGCTCAAAAACACCAATCTTTCCTCCTTGAGAGCATAAGAGGTCTTCAGGTGGGAATCGGGTGATTACTCTTTCCTCATGGAGCATCAGAAACCAGAGTTGACCCCAGGCCTTTTCTTTACTTGGCCTGAAGTGCATGATCATTATGTTCCATTTCTTCCTCTGCTGTCTCTCAAAGGAAATAGCAGCAAATCACTCCCATATTTTAAGCTTTAAACTCACCAACAACTGAGTTCACTGCCAACAACTACAAATGTTCGATTCTTTATTAGTATACATGTCATGACAATTGGCTTAGATGGTTAATATAAGAATAAATAAACTATAGTTAATTCAAAAAAGCATAATAAAATGAGATTAAAGAGCCCTGATCAAAAGGGATACTTATAACTTTCAGCTGAAAACCTGTAAAAGTTACATACATACATAACTAATAGCACTAGGAATGTACAATATCAATTACTGGAAAAAAATGAGTGATTCACAGTCATAAGAAAGTATTTTAATATTAGTATGTACTTTTCCTTTTATAGACACACACAACATACACATGGTTTCTACCTTATATAAAACAAAGTAGAAAACTAAACGTTGCTGCATTTACCCCAAACACAGTACTGATTGTGCCCTGGGTAACCTGGTCCAAAGTATTCAGTTCTACAGATAGGCCATGGTATTAAATGCATGGTTATGTTAATAGTTTTAAGAAAGGCATACATTTCCAGAAATATGTTAAAACACAAATATTAATTCTATAAATAACAAAAATTCTCGCAAAAATGTTAGGTTATAACATTCCCAAATTTTCTAATGTTTTAAGTGTTTTAGATATGTGTTGTTTGACCAGTTAGTTTGGTTACAGTTTTAAACTAGCAAACTGATACCGTACAAGAGCTAAACTAAACGACACCACTGCGCAAACTTCCCAAGAAGGTAATCTGAAAAGTTTACAGAGTGATTTCACTTATTCTAATTAAGATTTGAGATACTAAAAGAATCAGTGACTCAAACACTTTGAAATAATTCATTTTCCATACTTCCTCCAAAACTATTAACATAAGTTTAAGATCCACACTGCTTAAGAGTATGTCTCCAAAGGAGGTTTATCATGGAAGTTTTCTGATCTGAAGACACAGCCTTAATACTTTAATATGTAACTCTAATCTAAAATCACAATCCTTGGTTTGGAAACATTAAATTCAACTTCTGCAACAATTTACTCGTAAAGCCACCAAACAAAACAAAAAAATAAACTGGGGTGAAAACATGCAGCAGCCTCAGCTATACATGAAAAATAAGTTCTATTTTCCCATAAAGACTCTATGAAAATATAAAGCCCAGAGTGAGTGACAACAGAAGTCCACATATAAACACTATCCGAAAATAGAATGTTTCCCAAAGCTCATCCCATGAGGTGTCAATGAACAGTCGCAGTCTGAGTGCAGAGTCTATAAATCTAGGTTAAGATACATGGAACTATGCTCATTTACAGACCTTCAACAATGTTTGATTGATATACATAATTTACAGACACCCAAGGAAACTCTTAATGCCCTATCACATTACCTCTTAATACTAGATGTTCACTGTTTTACAGTTTCACTACCAAGAAGCCTTTTTAGAGGAAGGATTCCATCTCTTCCCTTGATGCCCTAAAGCATAGGTCACAAAATATAAAATTAAACAAGATTTATGTCTAATAAACTAACATATAAAATCACCATTGCAATATTCATAGTGACTGCTTAGAAACATAACAGTCATCATAAAGCCTATAAAGGATATTCTTAGTTTTATAAAAGAAATGCAGATTGTCTCAAGGTAAAAAATACAGTGCTGGCTGCTAAAAAGCACTTTGTTGCAGTAAGCTGTGCAATAACGAACACACCCCAGAAAACATGAACATGTTCCCCAAACTTAGTATCAGTGAAGCAAGAACTGCACTGCAGCAGCAGGAGGCTTTTTAGTGGCTGAGACTATAAAGCTAACATCAAGAAAGGAAAAAGGCAGGATGTGAGAGCAACAAATGGTGTAATCAAATTACTGCAAATGGAGATTAGCAATACGAAGTGAGGCAAGTGACCGTCCACTCCACTCTGACAAGACGCCATCTTTAAATATTAAGTTTTTCGCAGGAAGTGGAACTCCTGTATCAGCATAAGATGACTGTGAAAACAAACTTGAAAAGCTGGGCTCTGTGTGAATATCCTGTGTTGAAGCACCTTCCTAAAAGATCAAGAAACGAGAGAAATATGGAATATTCAATTTTATCAAACCACTTAGCCAAAACAAAACTACTTAAAGTAACTTGTGAGAAATCTGGATCTTGATATCCATGGAATACAAAGCACTACAGGAGATACAAAGATCTATCTCACAAGCCCAAAATCATCAATGACAGGGAGTAATATATGCAAAAATGATAATACAAATCAGACTGTAAGAAGTGCTTTGAAATAGAACAGACTATGAGACAATGGGATAAGGAAAGGTTAATTCTTATAAGAATGAAGCTACCTCAAAGTATTTTCTAACAGGCGGCCACCTCTAAATGCCTGTCACAACACTAGGCACTGGGACAGATTCCTTCATTCAACAGCCACCTGCTAACTCTCGGCTCCAGCTGCGGTCTCGCTGACTGACCTCTGCTCTCACTCACACAGAGCCCGTCCATAACTGAACCCCACCCTGCTTCCCCAGCTGTCCCTACTGCACACAACCGGCTAATCAAGAAAGATGAGAAGAGCCGGGGCACAGCAGTGCATGTCTGTGATCCCACCAGACTGGGTGGCGGAAACAGTAGGATCATGAGTTCGAGCCCAGCCTGGGTAACTTAGCCAAACTCTGTCTCAAAAAAATTTTAAAAAGGGTTGGGGATACAGCTCAGTGCAAAGGCCCTCGGTTCAATCCCTAGGGCCAAAGAAGGTGGGGATTGTTCTTGGTTCCTCCCTTCCTCCACATCCTCAATCTTTTTCTCACATCAAATTACCATTCGTCATCAAGTTTTACCAGTCTGTCTCCAGAACACAGCCCAAATTAGTTTATTCATTCACCACCGCCAAGACCAATGGTCTCCAAAGTGGGTTGAGTATTGAGAGAATTTTAGAAACTCTCCATCTACTTACTGCATCTTTATAAAATTTTTGTGTATTTCTACAGCATACTTAATTTACTGGCACGAGAGTATGTACTATACATGGAAAAACAAACCTTTATTAGGGATACATGCAAAATTTGTATGAAAAGGTGAAACAGCTGAGCAACTGCCAGCTCTCATGCAAGTGCTTCTGCCCTCACACCTCTGCAGCCTACTCTTCAAACATTAATTCACATTTAAAACAATCAGGAGCACGGCCTCTGCCCAGCTTAACATGCAGCACAAAATGCAAATCCTTACCACACTCCAGAAGGCACTGCCTGTCATCTCGCTCCCTGGCTTCTCCCATCCCAGGGGTTTCTGCCACCTTCGCCTTCTGTCTGCTCCCTGTGCACCGAGCACTCTCCTGACCCAGGACCTCTGCTTGGAATACTCTTCCATCCTATAGGTTTCGGCTTATCTACTATTTCTCACTACTTAAGTAGGACCACCTTCAGAGTGTGTCATAGCCTGGCTCCTTCAAAGAACTTACTGAAATCTGTAATCACTTACCTATCTTAGGGTTTGTTTGGCTACACAACATTAAAAGCTCCATGAGTGTTTGCACAGCACTGTTTCCCGAGCGCCTGGATTTACCAGTGAATACTGAATTCACAATACTGAATCAGATACTCTGAATACAAATCTCCCATCCTGAAAGTTTATCTATAACTCAAGGGCTGATTAGTCTTCCCTTGCCTGCGGTGCTGTGAGAGGGTTCACTGCAGGTATGCAGAGGTGACGGCAGCCACAACCCAGCACCCCGCACGGTGCTCTGACCTCGCAGACGCTAACTTGGTCCTGCTGAGTGACGCTCTGACACCAGAGAAAGCACACGCTTCGGGCCCTAAAGACCTGGCTAGGGAAACGTGCAAGTCACTTCACATCCCAAATCAAAGGAGTTCTCATCTATAAAGTAACAGCAGTGGTTATTTCACGTCTTGCTGCTGTGGAGACTCAAAAACCTGGAAATAGGGCCGGGGATTTAGCTCAGTGGTTCTGCCGCCTGCCTCAAAAGCGCAAGATCCTAAGTTCGATCGCTGGTACCAAAAAACCTGGAAATGCTCCAAATACTATAAAGCTCTACATAAACAATATGGAGTTTTAAATCTTTGTTACCTGGAATGAATGAACAAAATTAAGGACTTGTAGAGAGAGTTTTCTGCTGGAATGTAGAAGGTTTTGAAGGCTGAAAAAAGGGGAAAAAATAATTAAATGTAATGACAAGAACTAACATCTCATAAGACTTTAGTTTTAGCAATTTAAATGCGTTTATGTGAGTATATACGTTCTGATTTGTCAGATAAAAATTTTTAAGAAATGATTTCAATTCTTTGTATTAATAAAATGTTTTCTTGTTTTAATAGGTAGTAGCATTATACAAAAAGGCAATTTTCAAATATAATTCAATATATAAACCAAAATAGAAGTTATCATTTCAAAAATACATTTAAACTGCTAATAAATACTAAGGTTAAACGAACAAAATTTTTTTTTTTGTTTTGTTTTTTTGAGGCAGGGTCTCCCTTTGTAGTTCAGGTTGGCCTTGTACTCACTATGTAGGCCAGCCTGGGCTCGACCTCTTGGTGATCCTCCTGCCTCAGCCTCCCAAGTGCTGGGATTACAGGCATGCACCACCACACCAGGATGAACAAAACTTTTAAAACGAAGGTTTAGGCACTCCGAGGGATGGGAACTATGACACAAACTTCAAATTTCCAAAGTAATTTTTTTTTTTGGTACCAGGGATCAAACTCGGGACCTTCTGATTGGCAAGGCAGGTAGCAGAACCACTGAGCTAAATCCCTGGTCCTTCCAAATTTTAAAGACAACCTAAGAAAAACTCTATTTAACACAAACCATCCTCCATACATAAAGCAGTAAAAATGACAGTGGCAATCTTTACAATCTTACAATATTTCCACTTCTGACTTACACGTTATTTTATTTTCAGAGGACAGTCATTCAAATGATCACCTTCAATTTTCTGAAGAAGCTACAGTGAGCCAATCACATGATTCACTCCTCAGTAAAATGCCCAGAAGACAGTGGGCCATGCCCTGCAAGCCGCCCCAGCACAGCTGGAGACACTCATGCTCTTTTCTCAATAACCCACAGCCCAGAGACTTTCCAGCACTGCTTCTCAGTAGCCACCCGCAAGGGCCAGAGTGCAGCATGAGATGAAACCTGGCTGTCTCTGAAAAGCAGCACCTGCTCATTTTAGAGGAGGCAGAAAGTGGGGACATTTGATAAAGTCACCATAATCCCACCACATGACACAAACATTGATATAATGTGTGCATGTGCTGGGAGAAAGAGAAAGCTTGCACGGCGGTGCACACCTGTAACACCAGCACTCCAGGAGGCTGAGGCAAGAGGATCACAGTTCAAGCCCAGCCTGGGCAGCTTAGCGAGACCCTGTCTCAGAAACTAAAAGGGGCTGGGGCTGTAAAGGCCCCGAGTTCAGTCCCCAGCACCACAAAAGGAGGGAGCCACAAGATAATCATCAATGTTTAAAGCTAGGTCCATATACCACATAAGCACACCAATTTTTCACACCCCACCAAACCTGGGTGACTAAGTAAATGTAATCATCCAAAACATGCCCCCAACATGTCTGCTGTGACCAGTTTCCGAAATTTAATTTTAAAAATACAGCAAAACCTTTAAATTAGCATTCTTTACTCAATCAACAAATATACATAAGGAAATAACTATGTTCATGTGTAGAACAAAAGAAAAGCAAGGCTGAGTAACTATTCACTGACAGCTTAGCACCAAGCAGACGAAAAGATGTTAGGGAGTCTGAGCCCGTACCTCTCTTTTCTGCAAAGGCCGTGAGTGGCGATTTTCCTGCAAACTTTGTGGTTTAATTCAGAACTGAACAGCGGAATTCCAAAGCAGAGCTCCAGCGGAGCCCACTCTGCTTCTGTTGTGGCACCTAGAAAAGGACAAACAACTTACCTCCCACTCAGACTCACTGACAGGCAGCATCTGAGCGGCACAGCTGCCGAACCTGAGGTTCCCACCCCCACCCCAGAGGCCCGACAGGGAAGGCGGGGTCTCCAGCAGGGCCCCTCACTCCCTCAGCAGAAGTGTGTCTCTGAGTGTGCACAAAGGTCTGGACAATGGGCACACAACTTTCATCCAATGTTCAAAGTAGTCATGTGCCAGAACAGGGTGCTGCCAGACATCTGCAAGATGAAGAGAATGAACCAAAATACTGGCCACCAGAGGGTGGTGGCACCTGAAGGCATTATTCTCAGACACTAATTTTATAATGCTTAAATCACTATTTTAAGTATATAACAATTTTTTTTTAGAAAATTCATATTAAAAAGTCCATTATGGATTCGAAGAACAGAGAAATAACATGCAAATAACTTAGCAGAAAAGGTAAGCCTCAGAGATTGGTCTAAAACTTTTTGAGGAATTTTTAACATCTTACCAGAGTTTTGTTTTGTTGCTGAGTCTATAGTTGCTTCCTCAATGACCATTTCAAATGACTCTGTACTTCCATTTACATCCGAGCCAGACGCCAAATCAGGTTCTCCTGATAATGAAGGGACATACACAGCATTTGGGTTCTAGTACAGCACTCAGCAGAAGCTGTTAATAACTCAGTCCTGACACTAAGGAGACTTCAGGCAACAGTGCTGATGATGAGAGGAAATGAGTAATTTGGGGCCTCAAGCAGTGGTTCTAAACCAGAGGACCAATTTTTTCCCCCAAAGACATTTAGCAATGTAGAGAAACACGTTTGGTTGTCATAAATAGAAACAAGATGCTCCTGATTTCCAGGAATCTTAAGCCTCTTACTAGATACAATCCCTACAACAAAGAACTACCTAGCTTGAAATGCAAATAGTGCTGAGGGTGAGAAACACTGGCCCAAAGGTGAAATTCAGAAAGTAGAGTATGAGTTTAGACCACGACTAAAGCCATTTCTGGCCCTGTGGGACGCAGCCTGAGCACATTACTCCTCAGAACTTTCTGTGATTCTACTTATGTTTCAACCTTAAACCTCAGATCTCCTAGAGCTTACCCACTTTCTCTACTTTCATCTTCTACTCTCCAAAAATCTTCTCTTTTGGCTAAAATGAGCTACTCTGTTTCCTAATTCCCTCTGCCTGAAAGGCTCCCACCCTCAAAAAAGAAAGCCTGAAAGGCTCCCACCCTCAAAAAAGAAAACCCTCCACAATCCTCCTAACTATTTTTCACAGCTCAGTAAACGGCCTTCTCCAGGAAGCCCCCTGGGCTGGAAGTGTGCTCTGTCCTGTCAGCACACCAAACAGTCCCCGTCAGGTTCCCCACATCTCCCTGCAGGCTGACTCACCTGTCTGCCTCCCCTACCAGGGTTTTACCCCTTGGAATAAAATGCGGTCTTACCAATTTTCTCCAGCACTTAAACAGGTATTTGTTATTTAAATGTTTGTGGAATGAATGACATGAAAATGACAGCTATGGTAGAAATGCCCTCTTCTCCAGAAAACGCTCCTGTAATATCTGACAGTCAGCTGTGAAAAGCTACCTAACACCTTTGGACAAAACTCAATGACCAGGATTAAATATCTAACTCAAAGTGAGTCAACCCAATCCATGAGGTGGCTCATGTTAATCACATTTTCTCAGGATTTCAAGTAAGAGGCTCATGGGGTAACAGTCAAGCAGTGACAGGCATCTGAACTGAAAGGTCTCCCACAGGCTCAGAGCTGGCATCACATCAACAAAAGCCACATGCAAGCAAATATTACGGCAAAGCAGAAACAATCAGTAAGCACGCAAAGGTGATCTGAAAATGGAATTAGACAAGAAAGAACGGGGCATAATAAGCCACTGTTAATGTGCAGGACAGACTGGAGAGAAGAAAAAGAAGACAGGAAAGCCAAGTAGAAAATGGGGGCAACTGTGCATGTTTCAGATAGAAGATCCAGGCTAGATCAGCAGTTATACAGAATCAAAAACTAGTACCAGGGATCAAACTCAGGACCTGGCACTTGTGAGGCAGGCACAGGGCCACTGAGCTAGACCCCCGGCCCTTGGGAAACAATAGCCAGGAGAGGCTTTTCTAACTAATTTCACAGAGCATGGAAAGCAACTGTTAAGTTCACTTTGGAAGCATTTTTACAAAGACGACCTGAGTTCTGAAACCATCACTCCACAAGGCTAACTTAATTCAAAGCCTGAAAACATGGAGGTGACAGGAAAGGCGGATGCTCAGCAGCCACTCTGTATGACAACCCGAGGTCATCACATTCCCCACGCACAACTGACATCTGCCCAATACTGTCTCATCCTTCGATAAAAAAATTAATTATAATATTCCCACAAAGGTCTACTGCTTTTTATATATTAAGACTATTTTAAACTAAAAACCAGGTATCTTATTTCAAAGAACCCAGCAGCTGGCTAACCTTTCTCATCAGAAGCATCGCTGAGTTTTCTACTTGCGAGTTGGCTGGAAGCATTCAACATGGTGACGTAGCCACAGAAATGCTGCAAATCCACCTTGTCCCTTAGTGTCTGCAATGCTTTATGAACGCCCATGCTGACCCGGCTGAACTCTGGAGCAAAGGGAGGACAACACATCAGTGAGAACTTTTATAACGCAACAGCAGCAACCTGAATACAGAGCCGCAAAGCTGGGCACAGCGGTACGCACGCCTGTAATCCCAGCACTCTGGGAGGCTGAGGCAGAAGGACTGCTGGGAATTTTCACGCTTCCTTTTTATCCTTCAGTACTGAGCAATCCAGTGAGACCTTGTCCCAAAACTTAAAAGGGGTGCGGGGGTCACTCAGTGAGAAGGCCTTGGGTTCAGTCTCTCCAGCAGTCAGGGGTGGGGTGGCTGCATATGCTTTTCTTTACTAAATAATTCTTTGAATTACTTTTATGCTTTAATCTATCAACAATGAATCCAATGAAAAAATATATGTGAATGCAAAAAAGAAAGAAACCTATTCACATCTAACATACATAGTCTTCTGCAGCCATCACCTGCTGAGAGAGTAAACTAGGCCAATCTGGCCAGGTCTCTAGGCTTCTCTTTGTGTTGGCTGCTATTCTGTTTTGCATACTTACTTGGCAGGCTTCTGTAAGGAAATGTATTAAAACTTTGAGTAGTTATTCATGTTAACACTGACACTAACAATGGGCCTGAAATCATATGCTGATAAATTACTTAGATATTAGCTAGAATTTTCATAAATATGTGAATGTGTGAGAAAGATGCTCTATATCCTAATACAAAGACACCTCTTTTTTTTTCCTTTTCTTTCCAGTGTTGGGTATTGAACTCAGGCCCTTTGCACTGACCTACATCCCCAGACCTTTATTTTTTGGTATCAAGGATCAAACTCAGGACCTTACACTTGCAAAGGCAGACACGGTGCCACTGAGTTAAATAAATCCCCGGCCACCCCAGACCTTTTCTTATTTTTTATTTTGAGAGGAGTCTCATTAAGTTACTAAGTCCCCCAGGCTGGGCTCTGCCTCCCAGAGGGGTGGGATTACAGGTGTGCACCATCACATCTGGCTTCTTTCTTATAATTCATAAATAATCTTCCAAGGCAATCAATGCCCATTAGTTCTTAATATTTTATAAAACTTAAGACCTTGCCATCACTATCCTGTACAGTATATTCAAGTAAACAATTATTTGTTCCTTAGAATTTAACAAAAAAAGGTATTAGAGGATTAAACACCAAATTAGGTTGGGGGAAGTATACATTTCTGAATAGGGGCATATTTATTCACAACAGGCAGGAAAAAACATCTTAATTTCAAACATGAGGCTTCAGCAGTCTAGCCATGTAAAAAGGAAAATGATATTTATAAAATACACTTTCCTCTACTTTGGGAAAGAAAGAAAAGTAGTGGTTAACATTTTGGATGAACAGTAACTATCTGAAATAGTTACTATTCTCTAAAATCCATTAATATGGCTCTAAACATCAGAAAAATACATTATCGTGAAGTGGTCTGTGCACTAAGCAGGAAGCAGACGTGTTATATAAATATAAGTAAATGTTAATCAAACAGTACTTTTCTTCTGCATATAAAATCAGCCCACTGTAACTGTAGGGTTCACATCCACAGAGGCAACCAACCACAGATCTAAAATATTTGAAAAAAATATGTACTGAACACACACAGACTTTTTATCATTATTCCCTAAATAATACAGTATGACAACTATTTACATAGCAGTTACATAACATGTATTAGGTATAAGTCATCTGGAGAGGATGTTTAAGCATACTGGAGGATAAATACATATAGGCTGTATGCAAATATATGCAGCTATCGTACCAATTTATGTAAGGAACTTGAGCATCTGTAGAGTTTGATATTCCCTGTGTAGGGAGACTCTTGGAACCAATTTCCATGATACCAAGGGACAACTATATAGAACTTGTTAATATTTAGAGAAAAGTTATCTTCTGTATTAGAAAAGGACAAAAGATTTGCTTCCACAGAAATTCTTTGAGCATCCTGCATCCAATGTACCACAGCTCACACCCAGTGCAGAAAATGATGACACTAACAGCACCCCCACCCCTCGTCCTCACTCTTGTGATTCGGCACAAGGCCTGTAGACACTCAAATGCCCCTAATAACAAAACTAAACTTCACGGCAAAAACAAATGCTGAAACATGAAATATATGCAAGGGCTCTGTGAGCTATAAGATAGTAATGAAAATGTTCATCAGCATTTACTTTTAAATTACATAAATTTTTTTAAAGTTGACTAAAAATTAAAATATAAGCCATTAAAACTCCAGCAGCAGCCTATGTGTACATGCATGCACATACAGATTGAGTAATCTGCAAACGACACTGAAAACTGCACTGAATACTCTGAAAAGCCTCTGAAATGGAATGTATACAACACAGAGGAAAAATATAAAATTTTCTAAGTATAAAATCTTCCCTATGGCTTATTTTCTCCCTTAACCTTCAAGTAAACAAACAATAAAAGAAGCTAAAGGCCTAAACATACAGAAAATTTAGTCTTCCATCTAGCCAAGTATCTATTCTCTTCACCTTCACAATGTTCTTTCAAAGGTGCTAAATGGGTATTGGTCTACCAGTTCTTGGGAGAAAGGCAAATAACAGAATATACCCTCTGCCAATATTCTGTAACTGTCAAGAATTTACTCCTGTCATGTTTTCCACTAAATTGTTGATATAATTAATGATAAAGTCAAATGGATACAATTCAAAAAGTACCTCCTTGTAGTTCTGTTTCATCAAATGGAAATGGTACATGGACAGTTTCTCCTATCCCATACAAACCATGTCCCTAAACATAAGGAAACAAAAGTTGAAAAGTATACAAGAAATCCACATTTCCAGTAACTGATATGCAAACAATAAATAAGGTTGTGCCACTTAATGGTACATTTTACATTAACACTCCACCAAAATGTCTTCAACAATTTTCTAGTTTTCTACAGCCAGCAACGATGAACTTACCTGTGTATTAACCTACAAGACGATGCATCTCAAATTGAGCATATGAAAAACATGGAGGCTGCCAGATAACAGGTAAGTCAGGGAAGGGTGAGCCAAGCAAAGACCGAGCGGATAAGGTCAAAGGGCCCATGACAAGGCTTAGCTGCAGCTGAGAGAGGAACGCGTAGAAGAATCCCTACAATCACACCGCACACCACAGACAGGGATGTGGAGCCCACGCATGTCCCAAGACGGCACAGAGAGTATTCAGAGATATTTGCTACAACAGGATAACGACATACACTGTAACTGGAAAAAGCCAAAACACTCACCAATACCTGCAAAGGACTGGTTAAACAAATTATGGTGCATATTTTCAACACAGCTGCATTTTACAAATAAAATGTAAAGATCTCCAACTTATAAGTGGCAACAGCATGGAGAACTTCAGTGTATAACCACTTACATTTGCATAAATGGAAACTAATAAACATGATTCTCATTTGGGGGTGAGGTGAGGAGTGGGATCTGGATACAGTCTTGGAACAATGTGGCTGTACTAGTACACGAAAAATGAAGTTTAAAGAATCTGAGTCCCACTCAACTCCCTTTTTACAAATAATTCGCTTTCATCCATCACCTTCAATTAATATTCATTTGAATTTGTTTTAAAAGGTTTGCATACATTTAATTCCAAATTTGGTTTGGGCTTACAGTTGTGTAAGAATAAGCATGGAGAATTTAATTTTGTGTTTACATGTATTTAGTACCATTATGATAGAAAATGTAACACTGCAAGAGACCTATATACCGTATTATGCAAATTCAAGACATACTGGTATATCCAAGAGAAATCATACTCATAAAACACTGTGAATATATTTCTCAAGCTCGAAGAAATGAAGGGCTGACCCAAGCCAGCGACAGGAAGGGGAAGTCAGTCACCACTGCTCCCTCCCCGCCTTCCTCTCCTCTACCACCACCACCACCAGTGCCACATCCCTCACCAGCTCTGCCTGTGCACTAGCAGCTTCCCTCAATGACCTCTTTCAGCCATTCTTTTCATCAGCCTAAGGAGACCGCTGACAGGTGAAGACATGCGGTTCATTAAAATCTCTATCGAGAAACTACTGTGCACCAGACAGTATGCTACACATACCTCACACAAACATTCTCATTTCACTCTCAAGTATACATTTCCAGCCAGGGATTTAGCTCAGTGGTTCCGCCACCTGCCTTGCAAGTGCAAGGACACGAGTTCAATCCCCGGTACCAAAAAAAAGAAAAACAAAAAACTGAATTGTGTACACTCAAGTATACATTTCCTACCTCATCATCAGGTGCTATCATTTTTGTCATTTTACAGCAGATACTGCAATCTCCATTTTTCAGATGGGAAACAAAGAAGTATCACAAAAATATCACACAGCCCAATAAGCCATAAAAAGAGGCTCAACATTATTAATTACCAGGAAAATGTAAATCAAGACTGTAATAGATGCCACATCATACTAAGTTGGCTATAATCAAAAAGTTAGGTAATATCAAGTACTGGTAGGAAAGTCAAATGGTACAGACACTTTGGAAGACAGCCTGGCTGTTTTTCAATAGTTACAGGCAGAGTCACAATCTGACTCAGCAATACTAACCCTTGGTATCTACCCAAGAAAAATAAAAATACATGGTTACACAAAATTCACACATGCATGTGCATAGCAATACTACTCACAGTACCAAAAAGGTGCCCATCAACTAATGAATGGATAAACAAAATGTGGTTTATCCAAACAATGAACTACTATTTGGTCATAAAAAGGAATAAAGAACTGATATATGCTACAATATGATGAATCTTTCATTATGTTAAATGAAGGAAAACAATCACAAAAAACAACAAAAAATATCCATACGTTTTATATGATTTCATGTACATGAAAGGCTCAGAACGGGCAAACCTACAGAGACAACAGCATTGTTTAGGGATGGGGGAATGAACAGCAGAGGGAAAAAGGTGTGAGTGTGTTAACTAAATAGTACAGTTTGTTTTGAGGTGTTAAAAATGTTCTACAATTGAGTATGACAACAACTATACAAATCTGTAAATACACTAACACCTACTGAACTATATAAATTGGTAAACTGCAGTTTATGAATAATGTCTCAACAAAAATATTATTTTAAGAATAAAATACCAGCCACCTAGCTAGTAAAAGCTGAGGCTGCACTTCGAACTTGTGTCACGTTCAAAGTCTATGTCACTCCTACCACCCCCATGCTGCCAAAGGCCCAGGACTTAAAAGCCCAGAGCTCTTGATTTCTTACATTTCCACTTTATAAATAAATGACAACAGATTACAACTCAGAGAAAGCTAGACAAAGTATGCTCTTAATGGTAAAAATCTAATTATGATTTTTTTAATGAAATAAGTATACCTGAATTAAAACCGCAGCATGTGTTAAAGCATCATTCAACATCGTGAGGACGTTTGATGTGGGAACTACACCAGGATCATGACCCCAAGATGTTATGAGCAAGCGATCGTACCCCTATCGGAAAGAGATGAGTAACAGAAAGGCATTTAGCAATAAGAACAAAATTAAGAAAGTTATCTATAATATTACTCACCAGTTTCTAACCTCTTCAAAAGTAAAAACAATTTTAAAAAATAAAAAGTCCTGGGCTAGGGGCGTAGCTCAGTGGTATAAACCTTGCATAGCATGTGTAAGACCATTGGGGTCCATTCCCAGCATCACACACACACAAAAATAAAATAAATAAATAATGGAAAGGGCCCTCATACATACCTGGAATATGTCTGGCAGTTTTCGAAGTCTTGTACCTTTCGATAGTAAAAGAGATGGTGGTCCTTGCCCGGTGATATGGTAAATATACAGTTTAAACCAAACAGAGCTGACTTCTGGGATAGCTGGTCCAATATGCTGCAGTCATAACACAGGTAAGATACAGCTGTAACACTTATCTAGAGAAGGCAAATTTCAAAAGTGACCAAGTACAGTCTTCTAAGTAGCAAATGCCCCACAAATTTTAAATGCCATTATCCTTATGAAAATAAATGTTATGTGCTCCACCAAAATCCTTTTGGCTTTATTTGGAATTAAGGCGGGGCACCATACCACTGCAATTAGGAAACTAGGCTTGGGAACAGACGGCCTGGGTCTGAGCCGGGCATCATCCTTTTATCACCTGGGCCTCATTTTGCTCAATCTAAAAAGACCAATAAAATATGTATTTCATGAAGATGATGTAAAATTGTTCAAAAAGGTCTAAAACAGCACCTGATGCCTAATAAGCTCTGTATTACAGAGCTGTCACTATCATTAATCAGATGTAATGTTCCAGAAGGGTACTATCATCCCTGCATCCACTTCACTATTTATTCAGACAGTTCAGGGATTCCCACCATGCCTACAGGTTGTGCTAACAAGGGTGTCTGTGTGTGTGCGTGCATGTGTGTGTGTGTTTGTGCATACAGAATAATACAAAAAGTTGGCTAACTGCAAATCTAGCACCATTCCCATTAAGCACTGTATGAAGCCAAACTGTGACGTGGATACAGGTCCTCCCTGAGGCAACTAGACCAGCACAGACTCCATCAACAACTTTACGGGAGACACCACTGCCTCCTTTCTACACCATGAAACCCAGAGACACTGAGCAGCAACATAATCAGCATACTCTGAAAACGGTACCTGCCACAGCTTCCTTGCTAAATACACACAAAATAATTGCAATTGATTTATTTTTTTAAAGTAACAGACCAGAAATAATTCTCACATATAAATTCTACAGCTAGAGTTCTAACTTTCAAACACCACAGCCTTGCTTCTAAACTTAGCCCTCAAAGTGATCTAGGCTTCCTTCTAGAACACCCCAAAAAATTTCTCTTTCAAATACTTTGTATGTGAATAAAATGTTAATCTAATGTGTCACAAGTCACTAAATGATACATAAATACACCCATTACACGTCACAATTTGAACACAACATCGCCTTACAGGAGCATAAAACACAATACTGCTTTCTGAGCCAAAGTTTTAAATACTTGGTATCTGCAAGTTAAGAATGAGGAAAATAAAACCCTTCATTTTTCTCAGTGAAGGGATGGCACTTCCAAGAGGATCTTCCAGGTGGGCCCTTACCTGAGGGGTGCAGCTGCTGATGGGCCGGATCTCATTGGTGAGAGGAGCCATGGAAACCAGCAGCATGTAATTTTTGTTTAGAACTCTGCTGCAAGTGGCAGGATCCAAACCAAGAAGGCTTTCACAGCGTAAGAGATCCAGAGGAAAACCTGAGTTGTGATTGAGCACACAGAGAATAAAGGAATGACCATGTGAAACAAAAACATGGAAGATAAACTGTTGTAAGTACCTTGAGATTTTAAATATTGTTAAATGGTAGGATGACTCTATCAAGAAGTACCAAATGTCCTAAGGAAGCCATCACGACACATTCAGATTTAAAGTTAACACTTTTAGTCACTTTAACAAACATGACTATTTCACCTCTCTCTCACTCTCCATCCCCAGCCATGTGGCATACTGCGGCACCCTAAACGCCAGGGAAGCCCTGTCCTTTCTCGTTTCCAGTAGAAAAAGAATTACAGCCCAGTTCTGATTTTACATAGGGACAAATGTCCTCATTTAGGGACCTGGTGCTCTAGACAGCTGGTCTATAAGGCATGAGCTCAGTGTGCATTTTGAGCATTCCTCCCCTTAATCCTCTAGGAAAACACCAAATCCCATGGCTCTCTAAAAAAGAGACATTTAAGTTGGAAAGAAATGTCAGATCAGGTGGCCACCTCTTCCTTCAAATAAGAATGCATCTAAAAAAAGTGGCCTGCTCAAAGGGCCTAAAACCACTGTGCCCAACTAGCACCAGGATCTTTTTTGTCTCAAACTATCTCCCAGGAAAGAAACTTGCTAATAAGTACAAGGGAAATGGCCTAGTAAGTACAAGATCACATCAGGTCTTTTTGTTTTGCCAGGAAATAAGAAATGGCGCAAAAACAAAAGGAAAGAAAGTCTCAGCACATCACAAAGAGATAGCAGCCAGTTGGAACACAAAAATAACAGAGACTATAATGACTAATTAGAAACCACTGAAAAAACAGGAATTCAAAATCCATACTGAGGAAGAGAATGCCTCACCTCAGTTGTTAAATACGGAAGAAATGCTGACGTCTGGGGGAAAAATTACCAATTTGCAGCCACCAGAGTGCAGGCCAAGAGCGATCAATGGATGCTAATTTGAGGGTGAAAAATTGCTGCAGAGGAGACTACTTACATGGTTTAAAAGTATCTTCCCATTAACTGATCAAAATGAACATCACCATATTCTGGATTCTCTTCAGATCGTATAAATCTTTCACCTTTACAAAACTAACATCACCAGTGGCAGGAAGAAAAGTATCACACTCGTCGAGATGCTACAACCATAGAAAGACATGGCATGCTGTGTCTATTCCTGTCTGTGTGGTGCGCTAGACAGGAATACGTAACCTGAGTCTAATCATGGCAAACACCACGCTCCTCCACAATGAGAAACTTTCCAGAAAGACCATCAAAAGATGGAGATTACTCTCTAAATTAGGAATGTCATAAAAGAAAAAAAAAGGGCTATGGATTTATTGTAGAATCAAGAGGATAAAAGAGGCATGATGACCGAATCCTAAACTAGGTCCTGTACTTGAGAGAGAAAAATGGTAACATTGGGCCAAATGACAAACTAGAATGCAATAATAATATCAGTATTAAATCTTGTGAAGTTGGTGAAGAAATACACCCTGATCAACTCAGGGGGCAAAAGGCCATGACATACAACTTACTCCCAAATTCTGGGTCAAAAGTAGTCAGATTATTCTTATTCTTACAATGATTCTATAAATATAAACTGATGAAGAGGCTGGAGTCTGTGACTGAATGGAAGAGAAAGAGTCCTACAGTAGGCGGCAGGAAGACCACCTGATCTACACCTCAAGAACATGTGCAGGCCAGCAGAGAAGTGGCTTCTACAAAATGACATGTCTGGCTGGAGCAGAGGGTGCAGCCCAAAATTAAATGACAAGAGGTGGGTGGCCGAGGAAAGAAGGAAAACACAATCTAGAAGACCAGAGAAAACTATGTTTGATAAAGTACACTGAGACATACCCAACAGTCATGAGTGGAAAAGGGGTATCCTATAAAAACTCCAGAATCACTGGATATGCAATGGGTCCAGCCTCACTCATCTTTGTTCCCCCTTACTCTACTCTGGTTAAGTGCCAGTAGATTCCTCCATGTGTTAAACTGAATTGAAAAGAGAGCCAGATGCTGTGAAAAAAATGAAATGAAAATGAACATGACTTAAGAATCTGATAGCTCTTGGTCAAAAAAAGAATTTTTAGGTAAATGAGTAGGTGACTGAAATTTTATGTCATAGGAGCCTGAAGGTTTTACACAGTCCCAAGGTGCAGCTCTTGCAAATGCCCAGACACGAGTCAGCTATTCCATCAGGAGGGCTCAAGCCCAGATGATCACTGGAATCATCTACCTCTAAGCAGAGACTCCAGTACCATTAGTTCAACTGAAGTCTGGGAACCCATGTCTGTCACAAAATTAAGGGGCTATGAGGGCAACAACCACATTAGAGTCCATCAACACATTAAAATTGGAGATTATGTTTCCTTTAAGTAAAATACTTTAGTGCATATTACAGTAACATATGAACAGATGTTCCTGCCTATTATTTTCACACAACAGAGTGTGTCATTCTTAAACTACTATGCTCCCTATATTAACTAAATTTGGGCATCTGTTCACCTCAGAGCTTATACTGTTTCTAAATTCCACCTAGCTACGTAATCTCTCCAACCCTTTTCTGTAGGTACTAAACATTAAAAACCACAAATATTAGTGGCACACAAGAATAAACAAATGACAAGCAAAGAAATTCACAAGGCATGCCTCTAATTATTAACTGAGTATGCTCTCTACAGAAAAACTATTAAACAACTAATAACTAAGTGACCATGATCCGTTTAATGTCTTAGAAAAAAAGCTCCATGCAATTGTGTCTTCAAAACTAAGGACACTTGTCATACCGTAATTGGGTTGGTCTGGCTGAGCAGTTTGGGCAACTAGATCTTTATTATGACGCAGAAACAGTATTGTGTTTCGCAGAGTAAGGGCATGATCAAAGTATCTCTGTGCTTCTCCTTCACCAGTGCTCTGAACCTAAACCAAGAGAAAACAGATTTTACAACAAACATCAATTTTATGCCGTTCTAATAAAAAATCATGTGATAGAGCTACTAGGACATTATTAAAAATCAACAGATTAAATATACATTTAGACAACAATGAAACAATCTTAATCTCAGTTGAGTTTCCAATTTTACTATCTTTGATGATGACAGAAGTTACTCCAGTGAGTAAAACTATAGCAACTGAATACTACTAAATTACATCATTATTTAAGTTATATGCCCCATTTATGATTTCATTGGAATACTTAACAAATTCTAAAACCATATCTTGCTTTATCCACAGAAGTCGCCAATCCATCAATTACACTTCTAAAATTTTTACTTTGTTCACAATTTTTAATCATCAGTTACATACAAGGTACACTGGACTATGTGATTCAATATAGCTTTTACCACTGCTGAACACACAGCTTAAATTCATTCAACCAGGATTTACTGAGTGTCTCCTATGTACTATGACCTGTCGAGGAGATAAGGAAAGAGTTACAGACCAGACAGGCAAAACCTCCGACTTCAGTACCCTTATACTTAACACATGCTCTTTGGACAGTGAGTCAGTAACCTGTTTAGTGTGTAAAAACATTTATGTCCCAGGTATAAACACAGAAATGGTCTATAGCGGGAAATAATTAGATTTGCATTAAATTAACAAGATCAAACATGTTCAATCAAGATCATGCTTCTTACATTTTTGGATTTTTTTGAGACAGTGTCTTGCTATGTAGCTAAGGCTGGCCTTGAACTCATGATCCTCCTGCCTCAGCCTATCGAGTGCTGGGATTACAGGCACGTGCCACCATGCCCAGCTAAGAAAACATATGCGAACTAAACTTCAGCCTAAAAGGCTTTCCCAACAATGACTACATGGTTAAAAAAAGAAAGATATATGAATGAGTAAAAGTGCAGAAATGATCTTGGAATTGGAATTGACAACTGATAAAAGTCTAACTGATGTAAGAAAGATAAAAATCAGGAAACCACAACTTAAAATGTGCAGGAACACAGTAAAACATTAATAGCAAGAATTATCTTAGATCTATTTCGCACTAATGAAAGAATAATTCTATGAAGAAATAGCAATGAAAAAATGTTTCCGTTTTTTTCAAAAGATAAAAACTACCAAATCATCACAAATTCTCTAAATAGCACATTTTTTAATACATAGAATTCATTACTAAAGCACAAAAGGCACTAAAAATTATGAGTGAAGGGACAGATCTGGACACAAACTGTCTGCATACAAAGAAGGGCAAAGGACAGAATAAGATACCCAAGGAATAAAAACACCAATCACGCGTACAAGTTTTAGAGCTAAGGAAAACTAGGGCTGTACTCACAGGAAAAGGTGGTTAAGAGCAATTATGGCTAAAGTCTTCAAGACGCTAACAGGGACAGTGAGAGTGGACATAAACCTGATACCCAGGGACACTGACCCAGATCCAAGGCAAATGAAAGAAAGACTTCAAATAAGACTGCATAAGGGCTGATCTTGTGGGTCATACCAGAAAAAATGAGAGGTTGTTTTAGAAAAATTTCACTTTAAAAAATTTACACACAGACTAAGATTTCCATGCCCCATTTCTCTTTATATTGTTACAAAGTTAGATGAGGTACACACATCACTTTACAAAAAAATCATAAAATTCATTCATCCACTCACTTAATTCTAAACATCTACCACAGTATTAAGGCAGGGAATGAGATAGGAATGAGCAAGAATACACCAAAAATTCATAAGATCACCAAAACCAATGTCTTATCAAGCCTGGAAAGGTTCCGAATGCCGTTATCCCGATATGCAATTTAAATTTACCTTTTCTAGTTCTATAAGAAAGCTGTCTAGAGACTCATCTGAGAGTTTGCCGACTTCAAACATTGTGACTGCATGACTTTTCAAGTTCTGCAAAAAAAGTATAGATATATATTAAAGTTCTAGCTTTCCTTTTTCACACTAAACATAATAGATTTGTTATACTTTCCAATATATTTAAACTTAAAGGGAGTGAGATAAGGGTCTGGTTTTTCCAATTACAAAAACAATCCTCACTAAAAGTAACAACATGCCTCTATGGAATACAGAACAGTCATGGTTGTGTTTTCAGGAATAAATCTAGTATTTAAAAAGATATAAAAGCATTAAATTATTGGTGTTATGGTTTGGGTCTCGATGTCCCCCAAAGCCTTATGAGGTCAGAGGTGGCTAAATCTAGAGCGTGTGATGCTGGGATTAGAGCGTGTGGCTACTAAATCAGTCCACTGCCTGGTTTGGCACCACCCGAATCCCGGTAGCCTAAATACAACATAAGGCACAGAAAGGCTTGGCTCCTCCCTTGTTGCCTTTGCTGTCTTCCACTATGAACTGTTGCCCTCTGCAATGTGCCACCCTGCCTGGGGAAAATTCTACAAACTGTGAGCTAAATAAACCTTTCCCCCTTTAACTTTGGGTGTTGGGTATTTTGTTTCAGAAACGAGAGAAAAGTAACTAAGACAATTGGATAGCTAATTTTTACTTTAAACATCTTTGTACTTAAACAAGCATTTGACTTACTGGTGAAAGATTTCCCATCATTAAGAAAGCAGTAAGAGTTGAGTCAAATAGGAATGCAATACGCTTTGTATATCCTGTAGACAGACTCAAACTGTTTATACTGGCTGTATCAGCTGAAAAAGATAATGTAAAGTCGTATCAATGAAAACTATTCTCTGTGTATCATTCGGAATGAGGAAGTATTTCATTTCAGCTTTATTGGGTAGCCAGAAAGTATACAATCAAACATAAGCAATATTGCAGTCATAAGAAGTCCCATCATAACTATCTTAAACACAAAGAAAAATGGTTTTCAATGTTTAAGGCAATTACTCTTGCAATAAATTTCTTGAAGACCAATAATAAGAACTTGAGAAATGTCAGGCCAGTAAGACTAAGAGGCCTAACCCTCTAGATGTCAGTGGGCACGGCAGCAGGTAGAGACAGGAGAAGGCTATGTCATGCTCCTCTTCCCTCCCTAAATGAAGCCGGGGAAGCCACCTTGTGCACCACGCTGTGCCCCTTCGGGGTTCAGCCCACATCCTTCTCTTGGGCGAAATGGCCTTCCTGCACTGAGAATCAACCAACATCTTCACCATGAAGACTCTCAAACCCTCCAGCCTTATTGGGGCTCTTCCTCTTTGTATCCTACAAGCAACATAACTGGTGCTCTCGATAGTTTTTTTGGTTGCACCCCCCCTTTCTCCCTGGACTTAATTCTTAAAAAGCTGGGCTCGGTGGCCTGCAATCCCAGAACTCTGGGAGACCAAGGCAGGAGGACCACAAGTTCAAGCCCAGTCTAGGCAATTTACTGACTCCATAACGCCCTGTCACAAAATAAAAAATAAAGAGGGCTTGGGGTTGTACCTCGGTGGAAGGAACCCAGATTCAATCCCCAATATCAAAAGAAAAAGAAAGGCGGTAACATTTTCTGCTGATTTTATATCCCAAGACAGCACAGTGCCCGACATACAGGTCAGTATGCAAAGACTGCACACTGCAGAAAATCCAACACGAAAAATGAACTGTGAGGATGTAGTCCTGGACAGATGCTGTGCCTGCAGACTGACTCCAAATTAAACAGAGCCACTGCTCACCTGGGTCTTCCTGACTATTTGTATCCGTGTCGGTAGCCGAAGAAACTTCTTGCACGGGACTCCTACTCTCCCCACCATCCCACGACAAGAGCATCTTCTGAGGATCCAAAGTACTCCTATTAATGAAGAATACATTCACTTTGTTTAAAAAAATCACAGAAATGATCTTACTTTAAAATAGCCACTGAGGGCAGTACATTATCAACAATCCATCTGAATCCAGTCTTACACCCAAGTCTGAAACCAGACACATCCCCAGAAATGCTCTGCCCACAGACACCACAGCTTCGTAGCCAAGATCAATGATCAGGCTTAAGGAAATCCAAAAACTCTATGTAAAATACTGTATATGCTCTTTTCGGGATAAAGAGTTCTTAGCTTTCATCAGATGCTAAAAAAGATTCATATATAAAAAATTTTTAAAACACTAATATAGAGTTTACCTCAACTGAAAGACTGAATAAATTTATGTAAAACTAAATTTCTTTTCAAAAGAAAATTCTAATGTCATACTGAATAAATGAGTTACTTTAATCTGTTTACAGATGGAACATTCTTCCACGATGAATGAAGTTGATCCAAATTTATTACTTGTCCTTTCTTATGGGCAAAGCCCAATCGGCAATACATTGAAACAGCATTCTGAAAGTAAGATAAAGAAAATTAGCATCTCAAATAATCTAGATATTACAAAAATATTTGAAGACAAAAAATACCATAATACCTCTAGCAATTCTCAAACATGGCCTGATCAGAAAAGCAGTTTTCTGCAGGTCTGCTCACCCTTCAGGTCTTCACCTGGTTGGGAGTAGGGTGCTCCCCCTTCTCTGGCCCTGCCCTCCCCAGAGCTGCTCCGATGAGTTGGTGGTGTGGCTTTAACTGAGCTCACTACAAGATCCTGCTCAGGCCACCCTGCTGCAGGCCCTGCTATGCATGTCTGCATGAGTGCTTTCATTTCATCAGTGCCCTATCCTTTGGATTCTCTGCAAACATCCCTTTAAGGTGCACCCTCCCTCAAGCAATTAGTAAGAATTTCAAAGCCTCTGTCACGTGAAGATAAAAACAACTAGTAAAATCCATTCGGTACTTGCATTACAAATGAAGAGTATAATCATAACGTACCTTAACCAGAGATAAATCTATCTCAAGGACATTGGCAAGCTAGAAAATAAAATTAAAATTTATCTTTTCATTCTTAGAATTATCAGCACATTACACAGGTGTAATAGACATATGTAATCATAATCAGCAAAATTTTAGTTATGAATACCTGAAAGGCTGAATAAATTTTAAATTCAGAATTTTCTTCTTTATTTCTAAGATTCGTAAAGTATTACAAACTTAGGTAGTAACCATAACAATTTAAGATTCCTCACTCTAATTTTGTGTCATTTAAAATAAAAATTCCTAAACAGATCAATATACTTGACAATTCTTTTTTCTTTTGGTACTGGGGATTGAACTCACAACTTTGCGCTTGCCAGGCAGGCACAGTGCCACTGAGCTAAATCCCTGGCCCAACAAAACTCCTCAACTTTTTTTTGGGGGGGGGGGTTACTGGGGATCGAATTCAGGACCTTGTGCTTGCAAGGCAGATATGGTGCCACAACAATTCTTTACATGAAGAATCATATAAAAGCTATTTAACCAAATTATAAATTATTAATGCAAAGAAAAACTGTATTAGGTATATGCAAGAATTAACTTACAAACAGTGACATTCAGGTAACTAGTGGTCTCTAATCTCACTCTGTATAGACTCTGAGAATATTCTAACCATAACATTAAGTAATTTTACTTATTCTACATAAACTTATTTTGTAACCTTGAGATTATTCTTTCATAAGCTCTTGCCACACTTACCTCTGCAACATTAGTGTGCTCATCTATTGAAACAAATATTTTATAAAGTAGAGTTTCAAAATAATCACCCTGCACTCGATTCATTACAAAGCCTTCCAGGGGAGGAACTAAAATAAACAAAATAGACTTTTCTCAGTGATACAATTTTATAAAACAAGAAAGTATAATTTAAATATTGGTTCAAAAATATAGGCCTTTCACTTAGGCACTGAACACAACTTTTGATTTATTTTATCCACTCCACAGCAAGTTTTCTAAAACTCCGAAAGTTAAGGAACTTGGAAGGGAGATCACAAAATCTGCAGAGAACAAAGTAACTCCCCATGGAATTCTCAGCATTCAGAGGCAGAGGAAGTGCTGGAAGACAAGACTTGGTGCATGCAGCCCACTTTAGAATGGGGAAGTTTGCAAGGGATCCTGGTACATGTGCTTAATGCCTCACAGGCAGCAGGAGTGACCGGGCCAAACCAGAAAAGCAAAGAGCTTCAAGGAAGCCACCAGGCGGATGGAAAGCACTGGCTCTCTGCCTTTCTCCATGATGCCCACTTAAGGCTGAAAGTGGAGAAATTCACGTGCAGGACTGCCACATTTCCAGTAGTAATGCTTACTGGAAAAAAAAACCTGATTGCATTTATCTAAATGCTTTTCACCATCCAAATAAAACACCAAGTTAAGCCCGTATCTCACATCAAATACAAAAGTTCCAGACTACCGATTTGGATATAATATATACCAATCACAGATGTAGCCCTTTCAAGCATAGCAGAAGTCAAACAGCAATAAAAGGGAGGATATAAAATACATGGTTACAAAGTATGATGAATGGTGGAATACATTTCATTTCAAGATCATTCCCTTCAGTGGTGAAGATAGGGTGAATTCAGCAGTTAGTTTCCTGGATCTGCCCCAGTAATTGCCAGTTACTAAGTCTAGCTTGGCAGAATGCATCACTGTAGTATAGCAGCCATCCATTCAGCCTTTGTTTCTTTCAAATGAGCTTAGAGTCAGGGTGAGTCAATTTTCAAATGGCCAGTCAAAATGGACAAAAAGAACAAACCAAAGACTGATCTTTTCAAGCAGACCTCAAATGAGCCAATGTCAGTTCATCAGGTAAGAACATGGACTAGAGTAATGATTTCATAGTTTTCAGGTAAGAACATGGACTAGAGTAATGCTTTCATAGTTTTCAAATGTGACAAGAAACCACTACCACTTCTGTTTTGCTAAAAAGTTTTCAAATTTTAAATCTAGTGTGCTATGTTGTTACATAATCAACTATACAAACGCAATTACTCTTCCAACTTTCCAAGCTTAAAACAGAACTCACGTATGTACATGCATCAAAACACCTTACTAGGGCCGGGGATTTAGCTCAGTGGTTCCGCCGCCTGCCTTGCAAGTGCAAGGTCCCAAGTTCGATCTCCAGTACCAAAAAAAAAAAACCACCTCACTAAAAAGCCAGAGACTCGTGCTCACGCCAATAAGGTCAGGACACACTACAGTGCGCTACCCTGTCAAGATCAACACTGACAGGGTTAAGAATATCTGTAACAAGCTCTGGCACCACACATTTGGTAACATAAGGCTATTGCTTGTAATCTGACACTTTATATTTGATTATAAAAATATTAAATATCTTAGTATGATTTTGTTTTAATTATCACATTCAAGAGCAGTAGCTAAAAAACATTCTGGAAAGCATACTTGTAAAACACACTTGAGTGCTTTACAAACTGGTAAGAAATATAAACTATAGGAAAAAAGCATCACTCTGTTCAAGGACATTAACTCCATCACTACTACAGTATCAAAAAACTGGAAGTAACCTAAATAACCAGGAACAGGGGAGTGGCTTAATAAACTGATACATCCATTAGGTGTAGAAGAAGATACACAGGCTCCTAATACTGGCTTAACCTGAAGAGGTGGGTAGGAGAGAGGAGGAGGAAATAAGGACAAAAAGGACTGCAGCAACATAAGACACAGGTATATTAAGAGAAAATGAAGAACATACAGTTCCATATTACGAAATATGCACGAGAATTGCTATGCACTGAACAAAGGATCAAAAGGTGACAGGAATGTATAAAAATGCTGATTTGATTTGCAAATGTGAGAAATCCCATTATTTCCATATAGTGAGTATACCAAAATAACATAAAAATAAAAATAACAAATTTAAGTAAAACCAATATAATAAGGAATAAATATTTTTCTTTGAAAAACCCTAAACCCTAAGACCTTAGAATGTCTAAGTCCCTGGGGTGATAGGCAGTCCCTCCACTGAGTGCTGCTCAGCACTGAGCTGCTGGAAGGTAGCCCAGACTTACCTGCTATACAGCTGTCATCAGATATTGGTACATCCAGATAAACAAATCCTTTGTTATATAAACCTACAGGGGTAAAAGCATTTTGCTTTAGATGGAACACTACCTGATAGTAATTTTAAAAAACAATTCTTGCACTTCTACAAAGATTCTTACAACTGAATCTTATGTAAAGAAAAAAAGGAAAGTAGAAGACAAAAAGAATTAAAGCTTTAAATCTTAGTTTCCTACAAATGCTTAGAACTATGAAATCTGTCTTCCCATTCATTTGTAGAAACTTCTAGTGCGTGTAACTGATTACAGCCGCACTGGACAAGAAAGGCCGACAACCGCACCTCAGACAACAGCATGTCTTACAAACAGTGCTATTTGTGCCTAACTGACAAGTAATGGAGATTAATTACTGATGCTTTCAAACAAATTTTTATGTTGACAAAAACCATTTCTACTAACCACTTACTATGTACTACACTGTAATCTAGTGACCCGGAGAGCTGAGGGCCTGAATCGATGATCTTATCAATCGCACATTTCTCAGGCAAAGTGCATATCTAAAAAAAAGCAAAATATTCCGTTAAGTTCTGTCCAGGTTAACTAACCCAGTTAGCCTCCTCAAATCTATTCAGGTTGAACTCAACGATTAGAGGTTATTAGTTGAATAACTATACTTTTTTTAACTTATCACTACAGAATTCAAACCTAACAAGCCATGCATATAAGCATGACCTGAGACCAAACTATGCCACCAAAAGAATTTCAGGAGCAAAGTCTGCAGGCAGGTGCCTATCTGTGAGTAACAAGTGCTTACTAAGGAACGCCACTATTTAGTCTTTGAATTGGAGTCACAGCCATTAGCAACTGATTCCAAATCTTTCAAATGAGACATTCACTCAAACTCAACATGAATATTATCAGTAACATGAAGACTCATCAGCTTGTGACAGTTTGACAGCTCCATAAGGAAGTATGTACTTGTACTGAAGCAAAATTTCTAATTCCACTCATTGATTTTAGTAGACCCTCCAAAGAAAAATCCAGAACAAACCCAAAAAAGCTCATGCACACATTTACATTCCTTCAACCACACATAGATGTGCCCTGGTCTCCAGGTGTCCTTGTCACCTGTCCCCCCTTCCCTCTGAACCATCATCCCTTCCAAAATGTACCAAGTTTTTATCAAATATAGCTAGACTATACTTTATTTCCCTTGAAGATCTTAACACCATCAACCCAGCAAAGCATCAATCATTTTAGTACAGTGATTAACACACTGCCTGGCAAACTGCCTCGTCAGTGATAACAAACCTTCTAGAGACAAATGCCCAAACTCCAATTAAACCTGAATACTGAGGTTTCAGCTTAGAAAAAACAACTCATACATTATCATTTTTTTTCTTAAATAAAAAACAAGTGGGCCGGGGATTTAGCTCAGTGGTTCCGGCACCTGCCTTGCAAGCGCAAGGTCCCGAGTTTGATCCCCAGTACCAAAAAAAGAAAGAAAAGCAGGCTCTTAAATAAAAAACAAGCAACACACGTGCCACAGGTTCGTCACCACTGCCCATGAAAGTACTTGACCACTACACTACCACTATGATCTGAGCTGTTAAATAACTGCTCCATGCACATTTCCTCATCTGTGAACTGGAGAACCAAATCATAGTTTCCCGTTGGGCTGTTATGAGAATTACATGAGACAATATTAAAAGCACTGGCAATAGCCATATCCCTGCTGTTGGCAGCTGTGGCACCACATGTCACTTTACGTGAAATGTCTATCTCATCAGCACCCCAGACTGCTGTACCTGAGCCAAGTCAAATCTCCCTCATCATTACAGAGCATCCTGGAAGCTCCGCCAATATTCCAGCCTAAAAGATCACTTCTCACTTTTAGTTAGTTCAGTTTTCTACAGGAGAACCACTGGCATTACCTTCTAAAGTATCACATAACTGTATTTAAAGGCTTCAAACTAAGTTCCCCATTCAAAGCTCTATGAGTAGCTCTCACAGGCCTCTACCTTGATGTCATCTTCGGTGATATATCCAGCCTGCACCACCCACCACGCCTCCATGGCGATCCCCACCGGCTTTACTGGTAGAAGATCACGAGCCGTTTTCCTCCTGAAGAATTTCTGCCATGGGACAAACATTTGAGCATTTGCAGTCCATCTAAATGATTACTTTCTTTTTTAAATCAGTCACATAATAAGATTGTTTCTTACAAGCCAAGTATATTATTTAAAATCTTTTTTTTTTTTTTGGTACCAGGGATCGAACTCAGGACCTTGCGCTTGCCAGGCAGGCAGCAGCACCATTGAGCTAAATCCCCAGCCCTCAAAATCTTAACTATCACAGATATATTCAATGGAGAAAGTCATTCTTAACCTGTTTCAAAGAAATTACTCAAAACATGAATCACTAAGTCTAGATCAAAATCCAGAAACTCAAATGAATCACAAGAGCTGAAAAATGCATTTGAAAATATGTACTTATATCACCCATTAAGTGAATTCTGGGACTAAAATGGACAAGTAAAAAGGCAAGCAGATCAAAATTAATTTAAAAAAATAAACATTTCCTGCTGTAGATATTTTAATTCAATAATGATTTACACTAAAACCTAGAAAATACTGACTTGTATTAAGTATATTTTATTAGGTCAAAGAAATTATAATTCATTATTACTACTGCTTTTTAAAAAAAAAATCAAACTGTATAATAAGAAAGCCAAACAATGAAAAAGGGAAACGACTTACTTTTGATGACCTACACTGATTCATAAGATCAATGTACTGGTTTCTTCCTATGCCAAGAAGCCTTAGACCTGAAATAAAAGTCTTTCCTTTAAAAATATATAATACTTCTTGAAATGTTAGTATAATCAAGTGATATTAGGAAAAACCCTCAGCTTGTGTTCATCTTTTGATTACTGACTGGCATGACCTATCAATATCAAATTTTAAAAAGAATTCTTGAAACAAAACATAAAAGAAAATTGAACTTCAGGAGAAATGAGTGCGAACTGATATTTCTGACAATTCTAAATAAGCACATTTTTAAAAAGCAGAAGTCCTAATTTCAAGAAGTAAAAATGTACTGCTCAGCAAAAACTTCTTACATGCAGAACCGTTACATTTCAAATATATTCAGAGTACCTCATTAAAATAAGCATAATAAAACACTAACAAATTATGTTAGTTAAAAACTGTGCAGCAAGGTGTAAAAATACTCTGCCTAAGTTTTCTTCCTTCATTTGGTATTCACATAACCCAAATATCAAAAAGAACTTCATTCTCTAGAAATGGTATAAATTTTATTCTTCTGATTCTATCATCTAAAATAACATTTAGACTAAATCTGAATTTTCTTATTTCTATTCCTATTAATGTTGTTCCCTGTTCTCATTTTTCACTTATTGCAGGTTAAAAACAAAATAATACAGAAAGAGAACAGCATGCATGCACAAAGACACTATCTAAACATTACCTCCTTCAGCATCATCAGTACTTACAGTCAGCAGCAGTAAAATTGGGCAATGAGTCATAACTTTTCTCACTGTTCATAATGTCCTTTGAAAAAGAAAAATTCAAAATGTAAAAGAATATAAGTACCTTAGGCAAAAGAATATAAGTACCTATTGCTCCAGACAAATTGAATAACAGTAAGTATTACAAGCAGCACTGAGAGCAGAGTTTGCCATCCTAAAGGACACATGCCACACTGACACAGTGGTTTTTACCCACAACCCCAACCTAGTGTTGAAGGGCAGACTTTCAGGTCTGGTTTTCTCGTAACACTATGAACCCCAGAAAGTGGCCCTACGACCTCTGCCCTGAGGAAGCTATGCAAGGAATGCCTCTCCTACAGCTCAGCCATCCAGCTTCCCCACTCAAACCTGATCCCCAATTCCTACACAGAGAAGGCCAAACAATGTGCGCAGCTCCATCAACATGCACCACAACATGTCCTATCAACAAATCTTCTACCCATTTAGCAGCCTTTGCGCCTGTGAATCTCAGCGATGAGAGTCAAACCCAGTATCTTGCTTTTGCCAACCTCTATCTGTTTCTCCAATAATAAGCCAACTGTTTATCCCAGGGTTAGACCCATTTTCAACCCAGGAGCTAGACACAATGGCTTAACAGAAATCACACAGCAGCAAGCACCTGGGTAAGACTGGCATGAAACCTGGTAGAAGGACTAGAAGGACAAAAACTCCATCTATCTTGTCAAGCTTGTAGACAACACCAGAAAAGTAAAGAGGCAGCAACAACTATTCTGCGTACTGACTCACTGCCACCTTCTTTCTTCATCAGGCTACTCTGGCTATCAGACCTCAAAGGGAAGGACATGGGACATGGGACTGTGGACCTGCTGGTGGAAAGGGGCTTACGGAGCTGCACAAAAGGACCTTTGTGCATAGGGAGTGGCCCTCGCCTTGCAGCAGGTTCCCAGCTGCTCTGGCTCTCGGCTTCTCTCTGCTCTTCCTAGGGCTAGTGAGCTCAAAACAGTGACACTGGGACTTAAATAGCAAACCAGTAATAGATAAATACTGCCAATCTATACATAAAGCTGACTTAAAAACAGTATGTGTATGTAGCTAGTTAAATTTATTCAACACAAGCCAAATACAAGCTGTCTTTGGAAAAGGATAAAAACCAAAGGCTAGTAATTATAAAAAGAGACACACAGTCAGGACTCCTAACACATTTCTTTCTTGAAGCGTGTATTATAAAATGTTATGTCTACGTCACGATTTATACAGTTAGTGAATAAGGACATTAAGTTTCTCTGCACTTAATGATTATGTCACCCATACGTTCAACCTCAATTATACATTAAAAGCAGTATTTTACATAGATCTGCATAAACGACTGATTAGTATTATAATACCACACAGGGTCAACAATACCTTCAACAACACACAGTAGAAAAACAGGCACCTTTCCAATGTGAAAACATCAATAATGACGACTATTGTGCGAGTGCGGCTCTAGCAGCCAACATGTACCAGCCATCCTTTTATGCTCCAACTTCACAATGTCTGCTGGAGCCGCAGAGCTGCAGCGTCCTGCCGTGCTCATCCACCCCATCCTCGCCAGCTCACTCATGGGGAAGCTCACCTCCATGATCCCAGTGTAGTAGGAGAAGGGTGTGATCCGCAGGCCCTTCACCATGATATCTGACAGATGGTATGGGTACAGCATGAGATGATCGCGACTGTACTTCAGCAGCTCCTCATAGTATTTCCGCTCATCTTTCTTGACATGTTTAACTACAGGAGGGCAAGACATTTGCAGTTTCTCCAGGTTTCTTACAGTTACATTAACTGTGAATGTACTAAGAAATACTTTACAAACCAATTTAATTTTATAAGTTAGGAAAGAACCAACAAAATATTCTAAGTTAGAAGAAAGGAATAATTGTAGCACAAGGAACAGTTTCAGAATATATAAGTAAAAATACATAATAAGATAGATAAGTAGAGAAATAATTCTTACCAAATTAGAAAATAAGCATGAAATGGTAACATGCTCTCTCAAAGGTACAAAGCACAGGCTATTAAGTCATCCAATCTCTTTGTGTATAACTTTACAAGATAGCCAAATACATGATAGTTTTCAATAGGTCAAGTATATTTTTTAAAACTGCTGGCTTTTTGTTTTGCTTTGTTTTTTAAAAACAAACAAAAAACCCTTTGACTTCCATGGAAAATGTTTATACAGAAAAACCATCACTTACATATTATGCTTAAAACTGACAAATGAGAGAGGAAAGACTAAGGCAATAGAACAGAATACCAAAGTAATCTGACAACTCAAAAGCAAATTGTTTTAAATGGAGTAAAAAAATATCATGGAACTAACTGGGTTTAAAATTTGTTCCAATTAATATAGGAAGTATTTTTCATTCAAATTATATTATTTACATAATGTATAGCGACAAAACAAAATTCAAAGTTGAAAATTATTAAGAACTCATGTACTTTCCCTTTTCTGGTATATTTTTAGGCAAAAGAGGGCATTGAATTAAAATTAATATTCTCTAGGAAAAAAACTATAAACAGTACTCTAAAAGATAATTTTAATCAGAATTAGAAAGAAAAAATCTACTTGCTAATACAAATTGTTGTTAAGTTTCTTAGATTCTGTACATGAAATAACTCCAGTACCCTGAAACATGTATTGAAAAGATAGGTTAGATTTATGAAAATGTTAAGTTAGAAAAAGTCATTTCCACCCAATGGAAAAATGCCTGTACATACCTAAGTTATTTCTGTATCTTAACTGATTGCGGATACTGTACAGAACAACTTGCTTTTCATAGTCTCTCTGTGAATTTCCAAGACTCTAAAAGAAATTTCAGATAGTTATTCAACAGCTTCTAAAATCAATGGTACTTTTTCCCACACAAAATTTCAAAGCCATTATCCCCAATTTTATCCTACCTCTAATTTCCAAAACTAAATAAAGAATATTTTCTTAAGTTTCCTTACCTCAACTTTTTTGCTGTGGTATTAGCACAAATATCCAATGTATTTTCTTTCCTGCCTGCCTTTCTAAAATGACTTACTGAAATTATCTAACCCAAATAAAAGAGAAGTTTTACTTACAACAATTTGCTTCCTGAATGCCCCCAATCTGCAAGTGTTAAATGGATATAAAGTGGCTGTCTACACCATATAAGAATGGCAACTAAGGACAGACCCCTGACTCAAAGTTATTTGTAACTGAGGACTGTGACTATTCAAGTTTGATATCTAGAGGCCATACATTTCAAATGTACATTAAGACTGCTTCTCTAAAATGTCATTTCTCTATGACTTCAATAGGAAACGGAGAGAATTGTAGAATCCTGACAGAGTCATTCCTTAGTGTCCACTGGCACTGGTCCCACAACTCCAAGGGTACCCAATCTGTGATGCTCAAGTCCCTCAATAAAAAGGCATAGTATTCGCATTAACCCTACACATTTCCTCCTGTATACTTCAAATCTTCTCTAGATTAAATACCTAATACGATATAAATGCTACGTAAATAGATGGTATACTGTACTGTCTAGGGATAATGGTAAGAAAACAGTCTACATGTTTGTATAGGCACAAATTTTTGCATTTTCAGTCAGTAGTTGGTTGAATCCACAGATGTACATCCATGAATACAGAGAGCCATCTGTATTTTTTTTTTTTTTTGCAGTACCGGGGATCAAACTCAGGACCTTGCACTTACGAGGCAGGCGTGGTGCCACTGAGCTAAATCTCCAGCCTGCCATCTGTATTTTTTAACAAGCAAAACACTTTCTAGCTGTGCATTTAGTGTTTTAACTTCCAAGATGATATGTTCATGAAAGCAAAGAATAAGTATGCTTGACCATCAACATCTAAGGCAATGTGTGTCCATAAACTTAATTTATGACTACTACCTACTTTCTAATTACTAGGCATAGTGTTTCCAATATACTATAAAGTGAACTTAGTTATCTCACGAAATCAATGTCAGAAAGATTCACTGTATTTCTTATAGGTTTTTGAAAGCCAAAGAAAAATCCATGCACATCTTTTATTTAAGAAACTCTTCTAACGAGACAGACAAAACTCCTATCTAAATAAACTGGCCCCAAACTGGACATAGTGGTGAGCAGTATTTTAAGAAATAACGGGATGTGTAAGAAAACTGTCTTTCCTCTTGCATCTAGAAGTTTTTCACAGAATAAACAGAACTCACACTACTACCAGAATGTGCTTATCCTGTTTGCATGTTTTAACATTCCAAGTGGTTAGAAGTAGATTCACTGTGAAGAAACCACTCATAGCCCTGAAGCCTGGGTCCGGAGTGGAGATACTTAGGAGATTCAGAATGACACACTTTCTGTCAAATTTTAAGGTTTTCTCCAGTTCTACTGCCAAAAAGGCTCTTCCTTAGAGAACGCAAAACATACATACACACAAACACACACACAGGCAAAGTTACACAAGCACAGAACTTTGCTAAAACATCAGTTC